GCACTACTTAAGAAAGCTTTCTTTACTCAGAATTGAGTTTAAGCAATGGTGAGACCAATGACTAATCAGTGAAAGAGGGAAAGCAATTTTCAAGACTCTTAGGTTATCAGGCACTTGACGTACCTCACGGCCAACAAAAGGTGAAGTGTTAATAGAAAAAGCCATTTTCACAGTTGGTTCTTCCACCTTGATGGCAGGCAATGGCTTTCCAGATGCTTTATCTGCAATTGTCTCTCCAATCTGATCAAAGAAACTAAATTAGTTAACATGAACTTTAAAGCATAAGGAAAAAGGTCTGAGAAATAAATATTAGTACACTATAAAATAACTGTAACATCAACTTATCAATTAATCCATGGAAACTTATAGGCACTTGACTGAATATCTTCAATTCCACAAACAGCACAAATATCACCAGCTTCTATTCTCTCAGCAGGGGTCCTACTGAATTTCTCGTAGACAAAAAGTTCACAAATTTTCCAAATACATGAATCTTCTGAAATGCACACCTGAATTTTCATGCCCGTGATTAATCAGCGTAAAAGCTGTTCAGTTTCTCCTTCCTACCATAGGCTTACAAATAACTGAAAGTTGTGTATACTTTATAGTTATGATGAAGTTAACAATATAGACAGGCAGTGATTGTTTAAAATAGCAAGAGAAACTAACTTCGTATTGAACTCAAAAGTATGACTTTTACAAAGTGATTTACCACCTTTATATATTACAAATGGTGCAAGGTTAACAGCAGTTATTAGAACTAAAGAATGTATCACGTGGGTGTGCAGTTATTGGTGCTAGGTAACTGAGCTGGCAATGGCTATTAAAGATTCAGTTAGAGTCTGTTAGTTAGAGTCTGTTAGGCTTAACAAACTCTAGTTAACTCACACGCATACTATATATGCATGACAATTGAGCAGATTGTAATCAAGTTCTTACGTATCAATAAACTACAATGTTTCTTGCTTTCTTCTTGTTTGAGTAATTCAACATGGTATCAATCGCTGGTGTTCCTGGCCTCTATTAGCTCGCTTCTATTGCTTAGAGTGCGGTTATGGAGCTTCCGGTACAAAGCTCAAAAGCCTTCCCATAAGAAGGTCAACGTGATGCTTGACGAAACGAATTTCCTACTATGGAAACAACAGGTATTGTTAACAGTCCGTAGCCATCGACTAGAGCGTCTGCTTACTGGTGCAGTTTCCACTCCACCAGAAACAGTGGTTGATGATAATGGTGATGCTCGAATTAATGAAGAGTTTGAGGAATTTGTTGCACAAGATAGTGCACTGGCTTCTTGCTTCTTTCTACTATCAATGCTTCGCTGCTTCCCCAATTTGTTGGAGCCGAGTCGGCATCAGCAGTCTGGAACACAGTTCTGCGGTTCTTCTCTGCTCGATCAACGACGGTTGTGATGAGCCTTCACTACAAACTACATCACTGAAAAAGGGAGGTGACACTATGAGGGTGTATCTTACGCGTGTCAAGAGGTATGTGACGCCTTGGAGTCATGTGGCAGCCTGGTACCTTCTGTCGAACGCATTGCTAGCACTCTAAAGGCCTCCTCGTGAATATCAGTCCTTTGTGGCTGTTATAACCACAATGAGAAAAACTCTAACTCTTGATAATATTCACACTATGTTGCTTGATGCTGAAATGCAACTTACAGGTTTTGATGAACAAAGTGATGTTCTGCCCATGAGTGCCCCTATTGTTCAGGGTGGGACGTGAATCCACCTTCTCCAATGCTCGTATGGATCATCGACTCAACTCCTCTACTGGATCTCAGGCGTCTAATGGCAGAGGGAGGTCGACCACGAGTACAATGCCAATTGTGGCAAAGTTGGGCACCTAGTTGATCGTTGCTGGCACAGGTACGACAAAGAATTCTCCTGTGTCACAAATGATAATCGTGCTTCCAATGATAATCGTGCTTCCAATGGTCGTCGTCCTTCCTACGATAATCGTGCTTCCAATGATCATCGTGCTTCTTACGATAATCGGACTTTCTATGATAATTGTGGTTTTTATAGGAGTGATTCACAAGTTTCCTCCTCCAATTCGTGTGAATGTTGTGTGGTAAAAATCGACCAGCGTCCTCGAATCTGCCTCAAGTTAAATTGCTAATGCTGGTAGTAATTCTGATAGGTGGGTGGTGGATTCTGGGGCAACACACCATGTCACCTCTGAAGAATCCAACCTCGTGAACCCATTTGAGTTCCATGGCCCAGGTAAACTTGTTGTTGGCAATGGCATGCATCTTGGTGTCAATATGGTTGGTCAATCATTTGTTTCTTCTTCCTCTCGTGCTCTTTTACTCAAAGATTATTACATGTGCCTCAAATTACTAAAAATCTGCTTTCGGTATCGAAGCTTGCTAGGGACAATGATGTGTTTCTAGAATTTCATGCTAATCGGTGTTGTGTTCGGGATGAGAAGACTGGTTGTGTTTTAGTTCAAGGAGAAGAGAATGGTGGCCTTTACTCATTTGCAATGAATTCCAACGATCATGCTGCTGAGGCGCATACTGTTTCCATGAAATGATCCATTGATGAGCTTTGGCATAGGCGCCTTGGCCACCCTGCATTTCATACACTTGCTGCGTTATAATCTACACTTGGTGTCAAGTTTAAGATTGATGTAAACAGGAATGTACTGCTTGTTACATGGGAAAGAGCCATAAATGCCGTTTGGCGAATCAAAACAATGTATTCTTCTCCATTTGAGCTTGTATACATGGACTTGTGGGGACCTCCTCATTTTCCTCTAATGGTTTTCGGTTTTGTTTCTTTGTTGATGCGTACTAGGCACACTTGGTTGTATCTTTTGAAAACCAAGGATGAAGCTCTTCTAGCCTTGACTTATTTCAAAAACTTGTTCAAAAAAAGTTGGTGCTCAATTAAAGCGGTTCAAAGCGATTGGGGGGGGTGAATTTCGCAGCTTGTCTTCTTTTTTGGTCAAGTGTGGCATTACTCATAGGATAAGTTGTCCATATACTTCTGAGCAAAACGGTGTAGTTGAGAGAAAGCACCGTCATGTGATTGAGCTTGCCCTAGTATCATTGGCTCAAGCTGCTATGCCAATTAAATACTGGTCCTACGCAGTTGTAGTTGCTGTCCATTTGATTAACAGGTTACCCACTAAAGTTCTTCAAGGGGTATCACCTTTCGAAACTAATACAAAAGACACCAGACTATAGCATGATGAAAGTCTTTGGCTGCCAATGCTTTCCTCACCTAAGATTATTTCAGAATCACAAGCTTGCATTTCGCTCTCAAGCGTGTGTGTTTTTGGGAATCATCCACAACATAAAGGATACTAGTGTTGGCTCCAGATGGTGTGTATATATCTCTCGCCATGTGAGTTTTAATGAACATTTGTTTCCTTTTTCAGGTACTAATGACAGTGAGGAACATGTCTCGAATGTAGCTCTATCGCCTTCTCTGAGCTTAGTTACAAATCCTAGACAACCTATGTTTCAGCTCACATCTCAACCAGCACGTGCATCGGCATCAAATATTGCAAATGCTGAAACAACAATGCCCTTGGAATCCTCAAATAATAGTGACCCTCGTACACACCAGCAGCATGAACATTCACCAATATCTGAAAACAATATTAATGACAGTAATACTCATACTTCTCAACAGCCCGAGTCCTTGTCCAGGACTGGAGATGATGCCTCTAGTTCAGCTCATAATAAGAACAACACGGTGCCCGAATTTAATTCAGTTCCTGAAGCTACTATATCTTCTTCAAGTGATATCCAACCTGCTCCACAACGAGTTCATGTATGACGACGGTAGCCGTGTGTATTTTTAAACCCAAGACATACACTGCTGAATGCTAAAGATGTTTCCTGGCTCTATTCATGAAGCCTTTCAATTTGCATTGGAAACAGCGACTCAAGATGAATATGAGCACATGCTTAAAAATGGCACTTGGACTCTTGTTAAGCTTCCAGAAGGACGAACCCCAGTTGGCTGCAAATGGTTGTACAAAATAAAACGCAAGTCAGATGGCTCTGTCTGCGATACAAAGCACGGTTATTGCAAAAGGCTTTTCACAGATTCCGGGCTATGACTTCAATGAAACATTTAGTCCTGTTGTTCGGTTTTCAACCTTTATATATTTCTTACTGTGCTGTGCACAACGGCTGGACACTTAGGCATATTGATATTAATAATGCCTTTCTCAAACGGGGAGCTGCTAGAAGATGTCTACATGCAGCAGCCTAGCAGCCTCCAGGCTTCGAAAAAGTGGACGAACATGGACTGACACTTGTGTAAACTCCAGAAAGCTTTATAGGGCTCAGACAAGCGCCCAGAAACTGGCATGAGAAACTAAAAGAAAACTTGCTGCAAATGCAATTTGCTGTCTCTCGAGCTGACCCCTCGTTGTTTCATAAACACACGCCTCGTGGAGTCATCTACATACTAGTGTATGTTGATGACATAGTCATCACAGGGCATTCCTTGGATGATACTGAAGAAGTGTTCATGCTAAATGAAGGTTTTCATTAAAAGATCTAGGGGAGTTGAGCTACTTCTTAGGAATTGAAGTTAAACGCTCTAAGGAGGCTGTGATCTTGAATCAAAGAAATTTGTTGGAACTCTTGGAGAAGACTGGTATGCTAAATGCTGCTGGCTGCTGTTGATGCAGATTGGGGTTCCAGCATTGATGATCGTCGATCCGTATCAGGACATGGAGTGTTCCTGGGATCTTGCTTGGTTGCATGGTCGTCAAGGAAACAAAAAACAGTATCGAGGTCTACTATGGAAGCAGATACAAGAGTGTTGCAGATGCTACAGCAGACGTTACTTGGGTGACTGCATTATTGAAAGATCTTGGTATTTCACAAAAATGCACACCTGTTATATGGTGTGATAACTCCAGTACGTAGCCTTAAGTGCCAATCCTGTGTATCATGCTCAATCGAAGCATGTTGAACTTGATATACACTTTGTAAGGGAGAAAGTAGCAGCCGATCAACTCTGTGTTAACTAGGTTCCAGCCATGCACCAAATAGCTGATGGCTTCACAAAACCGTTATCGAAGGCTGCATTTGAAAGCTTTCGAGCCAAAGTCTGTGTGCAGCAAAACTAATCAACAGAAGAAAAGAAGTGGGGAGAATATTAGAACTAAAGAATGTATCACGTGGGTGTGCAGTTATTGGTGCTAGGTAACTGAGCTGGCAATGGCTATTAAAGATTCAGTTAGAGTCTGTTAGTTAGAGTCTGTTAGGCTTAACAAACTCTAGTTAACTCACACGCATACTATATATGCATGACAATTGAGCAGATTGTAATCAAGTTCTTTACGTATCAATAAACTACAATGTTTCTTGCTTTCTTCTTGTTTGAGTAATTCAACAGCAGTTAACACCTAACTAACTAAATCTAACTATAAACTATCCTCAACAGTGATCATCAGGGATGATGAAATTTAATTCTGTCCTTAACTTAGGCTTATTATTTTGACGATTTTCTTAGCATCCGAACTCTTTCTTTTGGGTATTCAAAATTACTCAAATTCCATATATATATAATATATATAAGTTAAGAGGAGAGATCTTCAAACCAGATTCCTTAATAATAAAACTTACTCTTACTTCCATTCCTTTCTGAAGAACCCCAGCAAGCAAGCGTCGCCCAATAGCTATACGTCCTTTATGTTCATCATATTCAATATTTGTAGCCTAAAACACATGCACAAAACTTTCCAGTTATAAACTTGAGCTGAAAATATAAAAATCTAGAGAACGTTTAGATACAACAGACTAAGGAGAAGCATGTAATTTTCATTATCTTTCCCAGGCAACAATAAACTTCTACATTGTTTTCTCCAACATTCCAGTATATTTTGATTTGTTCATGATAAGCAATTGGATTCTAATCTTCAACATTTGTGCTTCTTCAGTCAATATGAAGCTTGGGCTTTCTCAGTTCCCAAACAAATGAAGTTCTTGAAATTAACTGAAAGGAAACCTTTTAATTATAGCTTCTGGTATCATGCAATGAAGTTTATTTACTGGAACTAAATGACATATATGTCGCTGCTACGTTCATATAGATGTATGTCCAATACCAAATAGGTTACCGAGACAGGCTAACATTTAATCTGCTAACCATATCCATTTATATTTACCATTATATCGATTACATGTCACCTAGTTCTAGGCAAATGGACAAGTGGCAATTATCTTTCTTGTCAAAAGTTCACAGATAATCTTAGTTTGAGAGGAGGTACTTGCGAGGGTAAAATAAAGACTCAACTTCTAAGCATAAAATTCAATTAAACATAGCCATTGCAACATTTTGGCCTTATCTCTGATTCGAGAACAAGTGATTATAGCATAGTTTTAGGTACTATAACCATAATTAACCAGGAAAAAGGATATAAATGAGAGTCAGGTGAGGGGAAAAAACCACTGACAAGCATTTGCAGTGCACCATCTTTGTCAATATGTGGGCCAGGAATGCATATTATAGACTCAAAGAGAGGCCCAAGATCTTCTGCCAAATTGACAGGAGATAGTCGGGCCTTCCCTTTATACCACTGGAATATATTGCTTGAAAATCACACTGCATATTGAGAGCATTTAACGCGAGAAATGTTTAGATGGAATTTGTCAAAGACTTTGAGACGTCAACAAAGATTAAAAGATTCAAAACAGAGAGCACAAAGATGCCATTACTTGCAGAGATCTTAGACTCAAAATTATCTTTGGGTTAAAAAAATAAAGGAAAAGAAAAGAAAAATTCCAATCATATCATTTCTTGTAATACTAAACGGTAATTCCTGTTTTTTTTTTGGAAAAATATTCAGAAATGTTGTCACAACATTGGTTATATGATACAGCTATTGCCTTAATACAACATGGCATGTGAACTGCAAACTAGGCACTCCTTTCAATACATAATATCAGTACCTGCTCATCTGTAGCATTTAGTTCGATAAACAATTCAAATGTGGAATTGATAACGAAATCAGGACGAGCGGATGGTCTGTCAATCTTATTTACAACAACAACAACAGCAAGGCCAAACACTAGAGCCTTCTTCAAAACATTGTTTGTGGCTTTGGACTCTCAACAGAATCCACCTAAAAGAAGAAGAAAGCTTTAGTTCGAGATGAAGCCAATCCCGTCTAGGATACAGCATACGAGAGAAGGCTCCCAGAAGAATGAAGCAGGGGACAATCCTCCATAAAACCTTATTTGACAACCAATTATATTTGAATGTGATCCAACTATTAGCAGATTAGAAAATAAGATGGATTCATGAAGGGAAGAGATGGGAAAAAATAGAACAATTTCATTAAACGAAAATGATATGTTTCTCAGACAAATATTAAGCCCAACACCTAGCACGATCCAAAACACATACAACATATTCTCCATACAAACCTTTTGTAAGGACCTCAACCGTTTTAACTGGGTTGCAGTAAAGTAAAGAATAACCTCACATATTTTCATCATCGCACTCTCAACTGACTTTCAGATAATAAATTAATGTTTTGCGATTCAACGTGAATGGAAAGTACTTGTAAAAAACCATTAAAGGATATGACAAAGGCAGTATCAAGTTGATATCTTGCCTATACTTTTATAAAAAAATATATATATTTTTTTTAAAAAAAGTAAGAGGCGTCATTAAAAACCTCTCTCGTAATCCCTTTCTCAAAAGAAAGAGACGACCAGCAAAAGGAGAAAAAGGACATAAAACTTTAAAAGTACACCAGAAACAGTAGCTCTCAAAGAAACAAAAGGAAACAACCTAAAACATATCCCCTTACAATCACCCAATCCCCTAATTGAACATGTGACATTTTTAGAAAAAAATATAAAGGACCTAATTACACCAAAAATAAAAGTTGGATACCTAATTCTAGAAAAAAGGAAACAATTTAGATATATAATTGAACTAAAAAATTGGGTACCTAATTGCACAAACAAAACAAAAGTTAAGTACCATATTACATATAAATGTCAAAGTTAAATACCAAAAGTTGTATTTACCTTCTACCATATCTATCTATATTTAGCCATACCTAACCCATAAATGCGTTGTTCATAGGCCTCAACTTTTCATACTTTTTAATTCGGGATAAATCGAATCGAAAATTTAAAATTACTATATATTTTATATTAAAAATCTATTTTCAGTCTGTAAAATTTTAATTGTAAAAATTTACCCTCTAATGTAAATTTCTGCGTGTTACTGTTTTTTAATTGTCATGGAGAAATGATAATCACCCAACCAAAGAATTTCCCACATGCATTAAAGCGAGATGACAATGGGATTGTCTCAGGAAAGGCGGGTTAATATACGGTTAATATACGGTATTACCGGATATATTAAAAGATATTTAATAAATTCGGTTTAGCGCTACCTATTATGTTGACAGACTAATAATGTTTTAGGTAGAAAACATGAAAAATTATTAAAAAAATTGGTAACCGGTAAACTTTGGTTATCGGTAAGTATCTATCCTTTTTATAAAAGTGTCTATACTTTCAACATATTAGGTAAATTTTATCGGTTTTGTCATAATGAAACTGGTTTTATCATATTTTTACATGTTATATTGTAAAGTATCTATCCTTTTTATAAAAGTGTCCATACTTTTTTCACTGTGGAAAACATTAATTTAAGGTTATCTTTTGAGTGAGTTTTAAGATATTAATTTAGTAATTATAGGCGTCTAATGATTTATTTTTTACGTTACGGTATATATTATTATTAAATTAAAAACAATAAACATATATATTACATATTTATTATTATCTTTGGTTAATATTGTTAAATTTAAATTCTAAATAATATTTTATAAAATATCAAAACAATCAAATAATTTTTTGTGTAAATGAAATTATTAAATTAATATTGTAGGTGGAAAACATGAAACACTATTAAAAAAATTGAAACATAAATTACATAACTTTAAAAAAAATATCGATCATTTTGATAAAAAGTATGGACACTTTCAATATAATAGGTAAAAATATGATGTAATAGATAGCGCTTATATAATGTAATAGGTAGAGTTTATATAATGTAAGTAATAGGTAGTGCTTATATTGTAAAGTATATCCTTTTAATAAAAGTGTCCATACTTTTTTCACTGTGGAAAACATTAATTTAAGGTTATCTTTAAGATATTAATTTAGTAATTATAGGCGTCTAATGATTTATTTTTTACGTTACGATATATATTATATTAAATTAAAACAATAAACATATATTAAATATTTATTATTATCTTTGGTTAATATTGTTAAATTTAAATTCCAAATAATATTTTTAAAATATCAAAACAATCAAATAATTTTTTGTGTAAATGAAATTATTAAATTAATATTGTAGGTAGAAAACATGAAACACTATTAAAAAATTGAAACATAAATTACATAACTTTAAAAAAAGTATCGACATATAATAGGTAAAAATATGATGTAATAGGTAGCGCTTATATAATGTAATAGGTAGCGTTTATATAATGTAATAGGTAGTGCTTATATTGTAAAGTATCTATCCTTTTTATAAAAGTGTCCATACTTTTTTCACTGTGAAAACATTAATTTAAGGTTAGTTTTAAGATATTAATTTAGTAATTATAGGCGTCTAATGATTTATTTTTTACGTTACGGTATATATTATTATTAAATTAAAAACAATAAACATATATATTACATATTTATTATTATCTTTGGTTAATATTGTTAAATTTAAATTCTAAATAATATTTTATAAAATATCAAAACAATCAAATAATTTTTTGTGTAAATGAAATTATTAAATTAATATTGTAGGAGAAAAACATGAAACACTATTAAAAAAATTGAAACATAAATTACATAACTTTAAAAAAAGTATCGATCCTTTTTATAAAAAGTATGGACACTTTCAATATAATAGGTAAAAATATGATATAATAGGTAGCTCTTATATAATGTAATAGGTAGCGTTTATATAATATAATAGGTAGTGCTTATATTGTAAAGTATATATCCTTTTTATAAAAGTGTTCATACTTTTTTCACTGTGGAAAATATTAATTTAAGGTTAGTTTTAAGATATTAATTTAGTAATTATGCGTCTAATGATTTATTTTTTACGTTACGGTATATTATTATTAAATTAAAAACAATAAACATATATATTACATATTTATTATTATCTTTGGTTAATATTGTTACATTTAAATTCTAAATAATATTTTCTAAAATATCAAAACAATCAAATATTTTTTTGTGTAAATGAAATTATTAAATTAATATGTAGGTGGAAAACATGAAACATTAAAAAAATTGAAACATAAATTACATAACTTTAAAAAAAGTATCGATCCTTTTTATAAAAGTATGGACACTTTTATAATAGGTAAAAATATGATGTAATAGGTAGCGCTTATATAATGTAATAGGTAGTGCTTATATTGTAAAGTATCTATCCTTTTTATAAAAGTGTTCATACTTTTTTCACTGTAGAAAACATTAATTTAAGGTTAATTTTAAGATATTAATTTAGTAATTATAGGCGTCTAATGATTTATTTTTTACGTTACGGTATATATTGTTATTAAATTAAAAACAATAAATATATATATTACATATTTATTATTATCTTTGGTTAATATTGTTAAATTTAAATTCTAAATAATATTTTATAAAATATCAAAACAATCAAATAATTTTTTGTGTAAATGAAATTATTAAATTAATATTGTAGGTGGAAAACATGAAACACTATTAAAAAAATTGAAACATAAATTACATAACTTTAAAAAAAATATCGATCATTTTGATAAAAAGTATGGACACTTTCAATATAATAGGTAAAAATATGATGTAATAGGTAGCGCTTATATAATGTAATAGGTAACGTTTATATAATGTAATAGGTAGTGCTTATATTGTAAAGTATCTATCCTTTTAATAAAAGTATCCATACTTTTTTCACTATGGAAAACATTAATTTAAGGTTATCTTTTGAGTGAGTTTTAAGATATTAATTTAGTAATTATAGGCGTCTAATGATTTATTTTTTATGTTACGGTATATATTATTATTAAATTAAAAACAATAAACATATATATTACATATTTATTATTATCTTTGGTTAATTGTTAAATTTAAATTCTAAATAATATTTTATAAAATATCAAAACAATTAAATAGTTTTTTGAGTAAATGAAATTATTAAATTAATATTGTAGGTGGAAAATATGAAACACTATGTAGAAAATTGAAACATAAATTACATAACTTTAAAAAAAAATATCGATCATTTTTATAAAAAGTATAGACACTTTCAATATAATAGGTAAAAATATGATGTAATAGGTAGCGCTTATATAATGTAATAGGTAGCGTTTATATAATGTAATAGGTAGTGTTTATAGTGTAAAGTATCTATCCTTTTAATAAAAGTGTCCATATTTTTTTCACTGTAGAAAACATTAATTTAAGGTTATCTTTTGAGTGAGTTTTAAGATATTAATTTAATAATTATAGGCGTCTAATGATTTATTTTTTACGTTACGATATATATTATTTTTAAATTAAAAACAATAAACATATATATTACATATTTATTATTATCTTTGATTAATATTGTTAAATTTAAATTCTAAATAATTGTGCAACCGGCAAACTTAACTTGTCGGTTCGTGTCGATCCAAATTAAAAATGTGTCGATCCAAAACGATGTAACAGGTAAAACTATGACAAAACCGGTATTGAAATGATAAAACCAGTAAAGCGCTACCGGATACATTTAAAGTGTCGGTACTTTAATATAAGGATCGACACTTTGTGAATTTAAAAGAGAAGCAGTTTTAAATCCTATAAAGTGTCGATACTTTTAAAAATGTATCGATCCAAAACGATATACCAGGTAAAAATATGATAAAACCAGTATCAAAATGATAAAACCGGTAAAACGTTACCAGATATATTGAAAGTGTCGATACTTTATATAAGGATCGACACTTTGTGAATCTAAAAGAGAAGCAGTTTTAGCGCCTATAATGTGTTGATACTTTAAAAAAAATATCGATCCACAACGATATAACAGGTAAAAATATGATAAAATCGGTAAAACGATACCGGATATATTGAAAGTGTCGATACTTTCGTAAGTACGTGTAATAAATTATCGACACTTTCAAAGAAATAGGTAATTATCCTTTCGAAAGTATCGACA